GTGTGTGTGTGTGTGTGTGTGTGTGTGTGTGTGTGTGTATGTGTATATGTATATATATATATATATATATATATATATATATATATATATATCTTTAATCACTTGGGCTTTTTTTCCCATCTCTACAAGGTCTTACTAATGTGGCTGGGTGACACTAATGCAAAAGTTTCCTGTGGCCTTACATATTACAAGCATGTTCTCTGAGACATGTGGGGAGGGGGGAGCTTGGTAGAATTGTTAACATACCCCTGACCTTCTAAATATTACAGTAACATGGAGTTGAAAAAAATCACTTGTCTTTTTGTGATGTTCAGTGATGGCATGTCTGAATCTTTTAAAGGAAGATTTTTTTAATAATAAGTGTTATGTACAGCAAGTAGATGGAAAAGACCACTTTTATTGACTTTTAACAAAGCCAGTGGGTTAGTGGGCCATATAAAACCAATATTCTATCATATCACACAACATTCATATAGAAGTATAGTGTATAGTAACATTTTAAACAAAAGTCCATCCTCATGTGCAGAACAGATACATTTTTCCCAACCAAAAAGGAAACTGTGTCATAGTAATACCTTGTATTTATAAACTCTTCTTAGAATGATGTCATCCCTTATTAATATGTTAAATCATTTTATTGGAGATTCAATGTGGATACCATTTATATTCAATGATAGAGAAATAGCCAACAAGCCTCTAAGCATGTAGGTTTTGTTACACACACACTCACACTCACACATCATTTCATCCTACCTACACATTGATGCTGCAAAACAGGTGTAATCACTTCCATTTTATAGGTGAGGAAAGCATTACTCTTGATGGATCAATGACTTTCTAGATAATCCCAAAGATAACAACTTCCAGGTAACTAAAACCCCATGCTTTCCAAACCACATCTAGAAAAAAGACCAATATACCCAAAAAGATAAAGGGGAACTCACTATACCAGGAAACACATCAATAAAATCTCACAAGTTATCCAAAGCCAGACAAGTAGACTCTTTCTACTCTATCATGAGGTATCAGTTAGAAATAAAATGGTGAGGAACATTCGTACAGGACTTGAAATCTTAAAGAATCATTTATTTATAAATCATTTATAAATACTAAGTGAGAAGATGGGAAATCACATGCAGAAGTAAGAGTTCAATGGTATAACTAATGCCATTGGTCAGGTTATTTCTACACACTAAACCAAAAGATCTTGAAGGTAGCCCCCTAAAACTCAGGAAGTAACTGAAACCTATTAGGCTCAGGAAGTTAGAGGACTCACAAGGCAACTCCTTATAATTTAAAAAACAGCAGCACTTGCTGGGGACATATGACTCTCCAATCAGCTATGTAGTGTATGAGTCCAGCAGGAAGCTTCAGAGATATAGGTTTTGTGACTCATTGCCCATTTATGATGGGTCTTTTTGGAATACAGCTGTCTTTATGTTAGCTATGTTCTGTTATTATTACTCATACTACCCTCATAACTCACTGTGTTGCTTAACTACACTTGAATGAAACCATTTCTTTGGTTAGTCATTGATGGCCTAGTCATTTGTATGCATCTCCCCAGGAAAAGTCATTTAACACATGCTAAATCACTTTGGCAATTACATGAACACCCTTTACAGGTTTGATAAATTGAGGTAGTAATTCACTCCTTTTTTTCTTCTTCTTTTTCTTTTTGAAATTTTTCCCCCTTACCCTCCCATCCCCACCCCCAAACAAAAACTGCTCAGAAGGGAACTGACAATTATGGCAAGCCCTGGCTAGAGGATTGGGTTGAAGGGCAGTTGAACTTTTTGTGAGAGCCCCTGGCTGGCCAAAGTAGAAGAGCCAAAGTTGGCCAGAGTTCATTTGTAGTTTACTCTGGAATTCTTCTAGAGGGGACTAGAGAGTACTTTCTATGCCTGGGTTGTGAAAATATTAGCCATGGCCACTCAGGAAGACTACAGGACACGGGTGTACTGCTAAAGAAAAAGCTTGGCTTGAAAATTAAGTGAATCCACAGAAAAGAGTGGGAGTAGAGTGTCATCAAGGAAAAGAGGTGAAAAGGGGAAAGAGGTGGGAAGTGAAGACAAAAAGAGGAGGACAAGAAGTGAGGGAAGGAGGAAGGAAGGAAGGAAGGGAAGAGAAAGACATTTAAAAGGAAACAAAGGGGGAATGTCCTTCCAAAGCAACTCAGTTTGAGTCTCAGCACCCACAGGGCAGCTAATAACCATCTGTAAATCTGTTTGTAGACAATCCAGTGCCCTCTTCTGGTTTGTGGTTTCTGTGGGCAATGTGACCACATGCTCCACAGACACTCAGGCAAATACTCATTCACATAAAAAAATAATTTTTTGAGGGATAGAGAAAAAAAGAAAAAAGCAGAGAAAGAGTGGTCCAGAGATGCATGTTCAACTCACTGACCACCAGCAGAGTTCTGCATCTGAGCACTTCATAAGCAAGCTACTCTCCCACCATTCTGTGGCCACAGTATCTAAAGAAGAGCTCTCAATTTGCTCAAGTTATTTGGAGAAGGGTCTTATTAAACGGAAACATGTTCATTGCTCTAGAGAGCGAGGTTTGTGTTCCCATGTCCATGTCATTGACAGTGATGCAACAGATCAAATCAGTAAATATATACAGACACACTAAAGTGAAAACACTGTGGGTAAGTCACAGGTGAGTTCTCTTCCAGAAATGAGGACAATAGCCTTCTCGTGTGAAATAAATACTACAGTACAAACAAGAGAATTTATAGCATGAAGTAAAACACTGGAAATAAGTGGTCATTTGTTGTTTTGAAATTGTTCACTTTCAAACAGGGACCTCATGGTTTTGTTTTACTTAAGAAGTGCGCCCAGCTTTGAGCAAAGGGGCAACACTGTGCAAACATGTCTGATTGATGGTTCAGCTCTTCGAAGCAGCCTGGTCATTATTTGTCGAGAGGCATGAACTGCCACATGTTCTGCTCTAGACCTTTATCACAAGCAAATGTAGTAAAATTACAAGTGGATGGCTAGAAGCACTTAGAGTCAACCAATTCACAATTGGTTGTGAATGAATGCACAATGAAATACAGCAATGGAATACAGTCATCAATTGTGTATTCAAAGGCCTTTATATATTTTCAGAATGTGACAAGTCCAGGACATCAGAAGAAAGCCTGGCTGGTCAAAGAAGTTAAAAAGTGAAGACACTCTTATCTGAGTGTATCAAACTCAGTAACTCAATGTGGTAAGACTCAAGATGTTAATGTCACCTAGAGATAGAACTTCTCAGGAATGTTGAGCACAGACCAGAAGTGATTTTAGGGTACAGTATGACTGAGTCAGTGAGCCTCGACATTTTCCACCAGAAGGAATTTTCTTACCAGCATTTTTGTCTGGTGATGAGGGCAATACTGATGATGGAATCCACCTTGTCCCCCCAGAATCTGTGACATGCTTAGTCACCTGATATGTGTCAGGAAAGCTATTCTTGTACTTATTCCTGTCTTGTTGCTGCCCAAATCAGAGGTCCCTAAACCAAGAGATGCTACCAATAACTGTTCTATATGAAATGCCAAGCTTTCTACTTCCAACAATGGGGTGAGTGCATTTCAGATGCTTTTCTGGGTTAAAAAGAAATAAATTTAGAGATTCAAGAAGAGAAGTATGCTAATTGCTAGAGAATTGCTGAGAAATATTTCTCCTTTATACCCCTCTAAACTGAGCCAACATTTTGTTGGGTAGAGAATAAAAGTATCATTTAATATATGCATGAAGGGATATGTAAATGATTGTATGGCAGAACAGGGATTGGGATATAACTATCTATTGAGTTTGACATATGTGTGTGTGTTTGTGTTTAGATATGTATGTGCAGGCACATATGCATCTATGTGGGGGCTGGAGGTTGACTTTAGGTGACTCCCACAATTGTTTCTCCATCTTATTTTTTGAGATAGTCTCTCATTGAACTTGTAACTACCTGATTTGTGTAGATTTGAAGGGGCAGTGAGCCACAAGAGATGATGTACAGCTTTAGCTGTGGAAGTAAGACTATGTCTGTATCATATATATGCATAATAAATGCTAGCAATTAACTCTGTTCACTTAAAAAGATAGGGAAGCCTATTCAGAAATGAAAACTAGGTGCACATCATGTTGTATGTGCAAGCAGACCAATCTGAAGATAATGAGCAGAAAACTGTGGAATATTTTAGCAGAGATGAACCAAGTACCTTGGGAATGTAAGTGCTCTAAAGAACTGAAGCAAAGCTATTGTTAGAGCAGGGATATGAAAAAGTATACTAATTGCTTCTGTGTTAGGATTTGCTTTCTATGTGGATTATGTTTCTCTTTCATTTTCCCACTAGACCCAGCTATTTGGGGAGGCTTCTCTGGGAGGGCTAGCTTTCCTCATGAGTTAATATTTAATATGCCTTTGTGGAATTTCATAATCCCTGAGATGTTATTTCACATACTCAAGAGGGAAAAATTTCGCTTCATTCTTGAACAGATTTATTTTAGGAAATGTGTTGTAATTCCACAAGAATCTTGAGGGGTCTTTTCAAAAAATTGATCATCTATGGTTTGGGGAGACATCTGGGTAAAATTTTGAGATGAGTTGATGAAACTGACAGTATGCCATGAGTTGAACAAAAGCAAGCAAAACACTAATCCGTTGACCTTTGCAGCCTATGCTGGCAATCTGTAGAGGGGAGATTTATCGCTATAGCATTATTCAATCTTTCATATGGTTTTTCTTTTTGTGTTTTTTTTTCACAAGAGACCTTATTTGAATAGACAATGGTACTGCCCCTACCCTCAGCTATCCTCTGCAGCATCACAGCCTAGCCCACACTCCTCTCAATCAAACTCCAAGTTCTGCCAAGTATCAGCACCTCTTCATCTTGCTATCCCAGGATGAGGGCCATCAAAGTTTTCATTCATGCTATAAAAATTGGCAACCCCCAGTGGAGTCACACTTAATAAAATACCAGTTTTAAATGCCATTGTGAAAATGAAAATACCTACCTCTCTTGCAGAATCAGTTTGTTCTCCTTTTTCCAAGAGTCTTTAAAGTCAGAACTAAATTCATGCCAGACACTGAAGAAAACATTTGGGGACACCTCCTTCTCTCCAAGTTTTGGTTTCATGAAGTAGTAGGCTGTGGTCTCCAAAAAGCTGTCAAAGCATACGCACACATGAACATAAAAGTTATGATTACTTTCCAATATGGGATATTCCTTCTCCATCCAAATGCTGATTTCATTCATGCACAATTGTTATTACCAGAAAGATTCTAACTCTCCATGCACCAACAGTAATTTCTAATATGGGATATTTCAAATATGGCATATCTAACTCTTTGGGCACCAACATTAGTTCTTTGTGGTTTCATAATAGAATTTTAGTTGATAATAAGAGTAGTGAACAAAAGTTGTCTGAATACTGAAAACTACCACTGGGAAACTTCTATTTCTAGTAAATCACATGACATATTCCAGGGATGAACTGTGGTCAACATGGGGATGTATCTAGAAGTAGTGACCCTAAGCTTGCTTATAAACTCTAAACAAATATTGCATTTGCTTTTCACTGACTTAATATGATTCTATGTCCATATAATTCCACATGTATGCTGTTCACATCCTTCTGTTCATTAATACAGGAGGAGTGCTAGGAGCGGACCTAGGAGACACAAATAAAGTCTGCTATCTAGACAACAAGGTGGCAGCTAGCACACAGTGGACACAGTGATCCTGAACAGGTCGGGCCTAGTTTTCCATTGGTGTGACTCAGAAGGCTTATTGTATTGTGGCTACATAAAGGCTCAAGTTTTAAATGGGTTATTTGACAAAGAACACACAACTAGTAAATAATAGGTTTAGAACTTGCCATGAAAACAGAACCCTTAACAGGAGCCTGGCCAATAGTTTATGATGTCATTAACAATGAGGGAAGCTGAGCAGCAGGTCACAGAATGTCACAGAGGGCCAGAGGAACAACACAAAGAGTGGTGTGCAAATAAACCTTATCTTTGTTTTCACTTTGGCCGATGGCCAGTACTATTTCTGCTTATAGACATCAAGCTTGATTTATGCTGAAATAAAAACTTGAATGGCAACCTGATTTTCCCAAATAGTTAAAAATGTGAACAAATAAATACAGGCATGTGTATATGGATATAAATGAATATGTATTCAACTTATCATGTAGCAGATTCAATTTTCTTTCTATAAAGTAAAGTGGACATTTAAAAGGTAAGGTTTTTATGGTGAGTTTTCTCAGAAGGATGTTCAATGTTGACTGAACAGCAAACACAAAAATAAAAATCGGAACCACGGAGTGGCAGTATTATAGTCTACAAAGCTTACCCTAGCGTCGATTGTTGTTACTTGAAAATTTCCCAGTACCCACCCATCATACTTGAAATGGAGTCAGCATTGGCAGTTTTGGCAGTCTCCCCAGAAACTGAACATTGTTGGTTTAGCAGTTGGTAGCTGGGACTGGGAAAATAGCTCAGTCAGTAAGGTGCTCATTGTGTTAGCCTGAAGAGCTAGCATTCGTGTAAATAAGCTGTTCTTATGGCTCACACTTGCATGCTAGCACCAAGGAGATGGAGACAGGAGAATCACCGAGGCTCTCCTGTTAGAAATAGTAGTTGTTTTTATGAGTCCCAGTTGTGTAAGAAACTGTCTCAAGAAGTAGAGAACAATTGAAGAAAGCATTCCACATTGATCTCTCGATCCTACATGCATGTATATTCACAAACACATAGAAACACAGACATGACACACAGAAACCCACACATACACAACACACACACACACACACACACACAGAGAGAGAGAGAGAGAGAGAGAGAGAGAGAGAGAGAGAGAGAAGTTAGTGTCTGATGGCTCTGAAAGAATATAACTCCATGATGGAGAGACCCTCCCTAGCATCTCAAAGCCCTAGGTTTCATCACTAGCACCACTAACAGCAAAACTCAAAAAAAAAAAAAAAAAAAAAAAGTTCATAGTTATCTGTGACTGTTAACTAATGTGGGATGAATCTGTTCTGCTTTTACATTTACAATGTGGCTGTCTCTGAGTAACAAGATGTTTAGGAATACCAGTGTTTGGCTTCTAGGAAGAGAAGGCAACACTGTTTTGATTGTATGTTTGCCTTTGGTGCACTCTGCTCTTGGTAGCCTAGTAAGGAGATGGCACAGTGTAGTCTGTAAACCCTGTGAAGAGATGATATGAAGTGCATTTGATCGGGAGAGTTCACATGCTCCCTTCCAGTGACAGCGTGGGAATTCATCTACAAAATAGGCTGTAACTGGCAGAGTCACAGTAAGTAGATGTCAGAAAGTACAGAGGATAAATGGTGTTAGACAGATCTAGTTCTTCTGAAAGTTAATGAAGTATATACCGACAGCCTTGCAGAGAGATGCTCACTTGTCTTTTGATCCTAGAGAATCTTTGTGATATATTGAACCTATGTCTCAAACTATTTGACTACTGATTTATTCTTTTGTTACAGAGGAGCCTAGCCTGTGAGGCTATAATAACTCATCTACCCACACAGCTGTCTTGCAGTATTTTGAAAGTTTTATCAAAAAACAACATGGTATAAAGGTGAGGACATATGATTTAAAGTGAGAAGATGTGGAATGATGGATTCTGATTCTAACTTGCCACATAGAAAAAACTTTAGTGACATTATTCTTAGCTCTTTCATCAGCAAAAGATAGATTTTTAACAATTTTGTCATGTCATGAGGGAAAACAAATCTTCAACTTGTTTGTTAAATATTTTCACACAAATTAACTTTATATTATATATTATGTATTTGTGTTGCCGCTTATAAACACTTTTCTAAATTAAAACTAATTCTAATATTAAGATTTATTTATTTTATTGGTATGTTGTATTCATGTGTACATGCATATATGTTGGTATGGGAGGGTATATTTGCCTGTAGAGGTTATGCCCATAGGTGAAGACCAGCATTTGATGATTTTTAGTATCTTATGCTATAACTCTACCCACATATTCTAAGCAGTTCATCATTGAACTCTGCTTACCATCTAGCAAGACATGGAGATCTGCTTCTCTTCATAGCCCAAACCCTACCCTTCTCCAAGGTACCAGATGGATGCTACCACATCTCTTTTACATGGATGCTAGGAATCTGAAATCCTGATACTTTCTATTACATATGGAACATAATTGTTTAATAATGGAGAACAAAGACATTTAATAGTTTTTCATTTGTCCCTCTTCAGCATGGAAGTGTCAAATCAGTGTACCTTTGAATTACAAGGGTGAGAATGTTTGATTTTTAAAATTTTGTTTGAGTTTCTGACCTGGGTATAATAAATGATAGAATTCACATGCACACACACACACATACACCATAGAAAAATGTCATAATATACAAGCAAAAAACAAAGCAGTATGAGACAAAAGATCTCTAAAATTAGCATTGAGTTCATTTTGTGCTGGCCATGCACTGCTGAGTGTGGGACGTCCCTTAAGTACTGTCTGTATAGCCAGTGAGACTCCACTGGGAAAAAACTGATTTTTCATCTGCAAGCATTTGTCAGTTGGAGATAGCTTCTGGATTAGGGATGGAGGCTGACATTCACTCCCACTCTCAGTGCTGGAACTCCATCTGACTTGGAGCTGCATAGGTCCTGTGCATGCTGCTATGGTGTCTGTGAGTTCATATGTGTGTCAGCTCTGCTGTGTGTGGAAGGCTCTGTTTCCTTGGTGTTCTTCATCCCCTGTGACCTTTGCTACCTTTCTGCCTCCGCTTCTGCATAGTTCCCTGAGTCCTGAGAAGAGGCAGTTGATGTAGACCTCTCATTTAAGATGTGTGTTCCAAGATCTCTCACTCCCTGCACACTGTCCAGTTGTCAGTCTCTGTATTAGTTCCCATGTCCTATAAGAGAACACTTCTCTGATGCTGGTTGAGGGAGAAATTGGTCATATTTGTGATTGATGTGAGGAAGCCTAGCCCGATGTGGGTGGTGTTATTCTGGGATTGTGTCCCGGGTGCAGTGAGAAAGCAGGCTGAACAACCACGAGGAGCAAGCCAGAAAGCAGCATCCCTCCATAGCCTCCACTTCAGCTCCTGCTGCAGGTTTCAGCCTTGACTACATTTGATGATGAACTGTAAGAAAGGGTAAGCAAAATAAACTTTTTCCTTCCTAAATTGCTTTTGGTCATGGTGTTTCATCACAGCAACAGTAACCTAACTAAAACATATAATAAATGATCCTTTATTAACAGTAACTCTTTATTTAAATGTCCATTTTACATGTTAATACATCTGAGGTCATGCAAAAATTTTTGGGCAAATATTAGTCTTGAGTATAAATAACTCAAGAAGCCCTGGAACAGATTGGTGGAACTAGAAAGCTATCTTGACATGTATTTCCACTGAAAACTCAGCAGAGTTGTTTTCTGCAATGAAAAAGGGATGCTGTTTGAACATGAAACATAGTGGAACCAGCCTTAATTCACTTAATGTCACAGAGAGGGTGAACTTCAAGACAAATAATACATAGTATGTCATTATGAAAAAAAGCCTCAAATCATCAGGGAGCTGTAACCAACCTAAAAATGTATGTACACACCAAAGAAGCTTCAAAATATGTGAAACAGCAACAACAAACAGAAAGATGCATAACGCTACCAAACAGCCCCAAACCAAAACAAGATTTTCTCAGATTTTGATATTAAAAAACAAAACAAACTTCACAAATAAAGTTGTACTTATTGAATATAGGGAAATCATCCTTGATAAGATACTATCCAATATGATATAGTAATGATATAGTCATGTCCAATCAGAACTTATCCCAATGAAACAAAATGCTGTTAACATTCAAAATAAGAAAAACTATATAATAATTTTAAAAGTCATTTGAAAAGATCCAATACCAATTTTAAAAAGTTGATGATGAACTGAACTCCACAAAAATAAAATTTATTCGTAAGACCACACTTAGAGAAATGACTACACAAATCACAGGAGAAAATATTCTCCAACCATGCATCGCACAAAAGACTCTTGGAATCTGTAGAAAACTTACACAAATCATATATAAAAAGCCAAAGACAAAAACAAAAACAAAAAAACAAGAATCCTTGAGCAGAGAGTTTTAACAAATGACAAGTCCATGGACA